GAGACTCAGGACATCCGGGACTATTTTCAGTTCCCAGAACGTGCCTTCTCTTTCATATTCTGAGTCTTTGTGTATACTGTGAACTCAACTGACAACCCTTTCTGCAGAACATTGCCTAGAACCCTTTACTAATGATCTTAAATAACCAGTATTTTGTGTAACCTTGTGTGAGTTTTCTGGGTGTAGTGAGTTTTCTGTTGCTGGGTGTTCTGTGCCCTCTTCCTCATATCTCCATGATAGAATCTATCACAGTTCAGAAATGAACCATTTACATATTATTCTCTTTTTGTTGAATAGGATATTTCTACAGGGCAAGTGCCCTGTGTCCTTTACGCATCTCTATCCCCTGAATCAAGCAGGTAATTGTTTTCCTGGCTGGATGATTCTTTATGACTTAGTGATTGCATCTGTGTAGACATCCCCCAGCCTTTGACTGTCTTCTATTGAGAGATGACCAACGGTCTTACCTATCGGTGACATACATTCCCTCTGTTACCTGTATCGCCAGCAAATAGTATGGGGAAGAGTCAAAGCTGAGTTAGAAAGTCAGAACTATAAGAGGAGACCAACAGAAAGGAAGAGGAAGAACAACTCTTTATCTGAAGTGAAATTAAAAGCAGAAATCTGCATTGGTGTACCACCTCGTAAGGTCATGGTGCTGAGATTGTTACAATGATCAAATATTTGCTGAGCTTCAAAGGGATGGTTCCACCAGTTTTTCATTATTATTGTTTTGGAATGAGGTTGGAAGGATATTTCTTTGCAGGTTGGCTAATTTTCCAAACCAGTTGATCTCCAGACATCATCAATTTGCAAGAGAGCGCTTTGTCTTTTTTTCCTTTCCCTTCTTTGCTCCCTCCTCTTCAACACATTCCACTGATTGGACCAGTAAGCACACAGAAAAGTCTAAATAGAAGAGCCTGGAAGTCAGAGAGTTGACTACAGCCAAAGACCTGTACAAAGGGGGTTTGGATATGGCCCCTGTTGTCACTGGAGCAAACGGGGAAAAGTGAGCAAGAGGAAGACGCTTGCCAGGTGGGTTGTCTCTGATCACAGACATCAGAGATGACACCAGGTCTCTGTACATTGGACTCAGAAAGAGCCACATGTGGAACATGTTAATGACATGCAGTTACCTGAGTCCACTTTCTTTTTCATCTTTTAGACAATGGATTCATTTTAAAGATAAAATTACGGTAAAATTTTTACACAACTAGGGTGTGATGATGACATGTAAGTAAACTATGAGTAGCTTAGGATACACTTTGATAGCCATCCAAGTGCTGAAGACATTAATGGATAGTTGGCAAGGATTCTTGCAAGACAAGATGTGGACAGCAACTTCTGGTCTCTGCTCGGGGACTCTGACTCCGCTGAAGGTCAGAAACTCTATGACCAGAAAAGAAGAAATCAAAGGAAAACTGAAACCTTCCTGCAAACAGAGAGAAGAAAGGTATAAACAGCTACAGAAGCAATTTCCAAGTGTCCAATACTAGAGAATTCATTCTGTCTTCAGAGTCTTGATTCTGCATCAAGTTGTTTTTCTGAGTTTTAGGCTTAGAAAAATTTAGGGTGCTTAAAATTCATGCAACAATGACTCAGTGGTAAAAGAGAGGATAAGCACTCATTCAACACCTGTGGATAGAGCGCTTGCCCTGTAACAGGCCTTGTGCTAAGCACCGACACATTGAAAAACATGGGATCCCAGGTCGGCAAGCTGCGTGGAGAGCTGAGCTGTCTCGTTATCTTGCTATGTCACGTCACCAAGTCCTGCTAGGCACCACCAGCCCCTGTCAACAGTTTCATCTAGCCCTTGATTCTTCATGGAGTTTGAGGACAGATGGGATGTGGTATATAGTAAACCAATTTAGGATTAGGATTAATTTTTCTAAAAGGAGATATGTTTTGAACTCATGAATAGATTAAAAGTGTAGGATAAATTTATGAGAGATGGCTCCACAGTGGGTAGGAATATGTGATCGTAGGTTCACAACTGCCTCACAACTCCTTCACCAAAATGGCCCTAATTGTGACAGACCCCCGGACTGGATGGACTGTGGGTGTGTCCATATGTGGTGAGTTGTGGGTTATGTTTTTTATGGCCAATGGAGGTCTTCCTGATGAGTATGTGGGGATGTCTGGCCTGGTGATGGAATCAGAGGGTAGATGCTATAGCAGAGATTTCAGCCCAAGGTCAGAAGTAACTTTCTAGTAGATCTGTCAGAAACCTGAATATCTTCCCAAGAAATATTCTATTTTTTAAATTGTACTATTTTTTGAGGAAACATTGGTTTATTACACTGTCTATGGTATAAGGGTATAGGGTGTGGTTACCCACCACACCCAACAGCAAAGCTCCCATAATCCTCCACCACAGTCCATTGGGCTGTTCCCCTCTCTGCTTCTCACCACATCCCTTCCCATTCCGGTAGCCTCAATTCTACAGTAATATCCGGAGGGTTTGTTTTAGTTTAGTTCTGCCTCTTCCTTTATTTTGTTTCTTTATGTTCCACATATGAGTGAAATCATAAAGTATTTGTCTTTCTCCTGATTTATTTGGTTAAGCATAATCCCCTCCAGTTCCACATGTGTTGTCATAAATGTCAAGAGTCCATCTTTTTTATAGCTGAGTAGTTTTCCATTGTAAGAACACATGCATATATACATGCCACATCTGCTGAGTGGACCACTCAACGTATGTTGTTTCCACGAAAATATTGTAAGAGAGATTGATAAATATTTAAGATGTTTTCATATGATACAGAGATACATGACACCCAAGATCCTTCCAAATTTAAAAATCTTTGATTCTATAGTCTTTTAGCTGGATTTTAGATTTAAATATAGTGACTAAATGGTCACGATCCTATATATTAGAGTCGATTGCTTAAATAAAATCTGAATGTCTTTGCCATAGTTTTTTTTTTTTTTTTTTTGCCTGTGATGAAAATTAAGCCAGACTTCATTTTCCATTTCTTCAAATAAAGATAACTTTGGCAGTCTATTGGTGGATTATTGCTTCTATCACTTCAGTATGAAATGAGAAGAGTCTGTACTTTGTCTTTGAGGCAATATTTTTGTCACCATCTTTGGTTCTGGTTCCTGGGAAGAATGGACTGACAGGTGGAACAATAAAGACCCTGCTGTTTGCAGTGAGATTCTTGCACCATGAAAGTGAACCCTAAGAGGTTCTGACGAGCTGCCAACATTCCAAATGAGCAATAAGGTCTAAGCCTGGCCTATCTGTTTCTTATATTCTCGAAGGCTCAGCCTGTTCTATCTGCCCATCCCTTAGGACTCTGAACTCCCTCACTGCCTGGGCACTTTCTCTCCACAAATAGTTTCGTGTACTGTATTCAGCATTAATGTAGGGTGACTATGTGGAGATGTCTTCTATTCCTACTTTTAACAGATTAACAGCTAATAAACACCATGCAACACCCTCTCCTCTCAACCTCTTCTTAAAATACAGAGTTTGGTTTGCCAACGTCGGTGTATTTAAAGCCTCCAAGATTCCAGGGAAGACTTTAGAAAGTTAACTGTGCAAGTAAGGCCTTTCAGAGGGGAAATTTTCCGACACAAAGAGCCAATGGTGGAGAAGTCACTCGCTGAGAAGAAACCTAGGGGATCTTCTAAGGAAAGGATGTTTGTTCTCACTTAAATGAAAGCTTCTCACTTTGTTCTTGGCATGGAGGACAAGAGAACTCTGAAAGTGTTATCACCTGGGGCCAAGAACAGGCCGCAGAAGTTTTATCTCGAAATAGAAGTTTGTCTTTTCTAGGAGGGACACCAGGACCCTTCCAGCCTTTGCAGTGAAAGGACTTAGGCCACTCCACCTTTCTCGTCCACCCTGCCCTCCGTCCCCGAACCTCCTCCTGCACTTAGAAGTGAAGCAGTTAATCACAAACTATTAAAAGCAGCTCCAACTGCTTTGAGAATATGGGCAAACATGTGTCTGAGATATCCCGCATAATTATGTTAAGACAATACACACCAGGACCTGGTCATGTCAGAGAAGGGCGGAGAGCAGGCAGTCTGCACACAGTTCAGGGAACGCAACTTCCAGCATCCGCAAGTGAGAAGCCCGAAGCACTGTCCTTATAAAGTGCCATGTTACGTTGACTCGAGTCTGACCGTCTCTGACATGTGACCCTCCAGGACCAGCTTGACCATTAGATCCCAACAGCACAGAGAAATATTTGCAGAAATGTTTTGGTCTTCTAATTGGGGGATAATTTCTGTAACCAAACTCGTTTTTTGCCTTCAGGTATTTCTTGTTGAAACAGAAACTCAAGTGTACGTGATTCCTTCCCTCTCCTTTTATCTGCTTTGCGTGTCTCTGTTGGGTTAAATTTTTTAAAGATTTATTTCTGTGTAGAAGAAGTGGGGTGCAGGCCAGAGGTGTGGGGATGAGAGGATTCACCAGAGACAGAGTGGGGAGCAGAACAGGTGGATCCACTGAAATCCACTGCTGAGGGGAGCAGCGGGTGAGGCAGGAGAGGTCTGCTGTGCCATGTGGGTCAGCTCCCTGGCTGGGGATTGAACTCATGCTGCAGTGGTGATAGTGCTGAGACTTAACCCCTAGGCCACCAGGAAGGCCCCAGTTAAGAAACTTTTAAGGGTAACAGTGTGACACTAACACGGGCTGTGTCACTGCACAGCGCTAGGGAAACAGTCCACGCTGCACTCTCCTCTACCCCTGATGTTATGACTTTGACCTTTAACACTTAACGTTGCTTTTCATGTAGAGCGAACCTTCTTTGAAGATGATCGACTTGAAACTCTGTTATAGTTAGGACTTGCCTGCTGGCCATCGGGGCAGGGTTCGTGGACCGCCCCCCCCCCCCCGCAGTGCTGTATCTCCTGCAGCTGGTGTCCTCCACACTCACTGCCCCACCCTGACAGACTTGCCATGTCCACGTGTCAGGAAAATCGCCTCAGGGTTTTTAACTTACTGGGGTTACTTACAGTTGCATTCACTTGCTTTTCCTTCTCCCCAGGACTGGCCTGGAAGCAATCATGGAGACATACGCCTTCTGGAGACCCCCTGTGCGCACCCTCACCTTTGAGGACTTCACCACCATGCAGAAACAGCAAGGTAAGGCCTCTGCTTTGTGACACAGCCACGAAGGGAGTGGGACCGGAACTGAATACAGCATGTCCCATCCCAGGCCCAGCAGTGGGGTACATGGAATCTTCTAGAATGAAGAGAACTCGGTAGCTACAGATTTAATGAAAGCATCTCCACTTGTGCAGACAAGCTGGTCCCAGTAGCAGCATTTCACCTGGCGCTTAAAACTATCCCCCTGTCCGAAAATCAAGGTGATAGGTTCCTAATTACGAGCGTGATGAAATAAATGTTTTGATCACGAAGCATTCACATAACTCTTGGTATTTGAAGAGATCTTCGTAATACTTCACATATTCCTCTAGGCAGCCTTTGTGTTTTCTTATTCTAGTTCTGTAGAGGTGAGAAGCTTAATTGCAAACAACAGGAATTAAGGTCCCACTGTGAGCAGGGGCCGCGCAAGCCTGTCTGAATTTTTCCACCCTGGGCTCCCTCCTGTTTTGCTTATGTGGAAATGGACCAGGTGGACATTCCAGTGTCCCCCACCCACCACCCCCAACACACACATGCATTGTTTTGTGATTATCTTCCAATTTCTAATCTCCCTTCCCTTGTAGCTCAGGTTGGAAAAACCTGAGACCAGACGTGCACATGGCCAGTGGGCTGGTGTGAGTCCCTTTCCTCAGCCAGCGGCTGTCCCGGGGTAGGGCCCACTGACCTGGTCCCCGAAGGAAAACTCCCAAGCAGGTGCTTTGTGAGTCTCCCTCTGCAGCCTTCTCAGTCCCCAAAGTGACAGTGGTCAAGATGACAGATCGGCTTATTCGGTTCCATCAAATGACCATCATTAATAGAATCTGAATTTTAGAATTTATGACTGTGATGGGGGCCATTCTAGGACTTGATCATATATAACATTTTCCTTTTAGGGAAGCTTCTAGCAGTTTTCACACTGACTTAGGTTTGTAGCCTAAGTGAATGAAATCGTTCAGGACTTAAAATGAATGCAGTGGTTAAAAGCATAGACTGGAGTCACACAAGTTGGGTTAGTCTCTTATCAACCTCCTTCCTAGCTTTGTGACCTTGGTCAAGTCCTTCATCCTTTCTGACACTCACTTTTTCATCTGCAAAATGGTAAAGGATTAAATGAACTAGGGCATTAAAAAACACGGTGGCACCCAGTACGTGCGCACTGTCACCATCAGCATCCTCTCCTGCATCCCTCTTTTGTCATCTCTTGGATACCCAAGGGGAAGATGCATCAGGGACAGGAGATATTGTTTTTCTGATGATTAGTTATTGAAAACTTGATAGACCATTCATCTTCACAGGGATCAGTTCAGGCAAATGATCCAGAATTTCCATCTCTTTCTTGTTCTCTTTTTTTTTGAAGGAAAAATGGAATTTCTTAGGAAGCGACTTGCTCCCCATAATGTCGTGATAGAAGCAAGGCCAGTACATATTCAGGGTGTGACCACTGCTCTGAGTCTTTCATATCCCGTGGGAGGCAAAGGTTTTATGGGAGTCAGGAAATCTGGGTCCTCATCTTTCATGATTGTTAACTCTGTATCACCTGGATCAAATTACTTCTACTCTGAGACCCTGTTTTCTCACCTGGCAAAGAGGCCATTCATGTAAACACGTCTTATAAACGAAGATGTGACATGCAAAGCTACTTGAGTCTATTTATTTCTTAGGTGACGTCTTGTTTATCTGCCCCGTTGACTTTCCAAGCTCTAGCTAAGCATAGCTATGTCTCATGGAGGATGGTGCTGGAAGACTGACAGGGATGTTGTCAGTTTCCAAGTCCAGCATTAATGGCAACATCATGTTCACTGCTGTGTCCCCAAAGTGACCACAGGGTCTGGCGCCCAGGAAGCGCCTGAAGAACAATGAATGAGGCTACTTGATGGCATTGTGGCCTAGGTAGGAAGGGTCACTGGCTGATGACATCTTGGAGTATGACCTCCTAATATGTTTGTGGATATGAGGTGGAATAATCTTTGGGAATGGTAAATCATATTTCACAGGCACAGACGCTGGGATCCTGACACAACTGCTCAAGTTTCATGGAACTTCTACTGAAAGTTTATTGATATGAAGACCTATTGTTGACACTTTGAAAGCAATGCTCTCAGAGAAACTGAGAAACATCACAATTATTCAGTGACTCCCTTTTTTATTGGTGCAGGGATGAGAGTGGAATTATTGGATACATATGGGAGTGGGGAAGCCAAGACTCCACTAGACAGTTTAATTGGAATACATTTTTGAACTATACACTGAACTTGATCCAGATTCTCATTATTGAAAAATATGCAGCTTGGTTTCTTGATGTTAAGGGATGTAGAAGTAACTTTACCCATCCCTCTCCCCTTAAGAGCTAAGAGTTCCAGCGACTCTGGACAGTATCACTCATAACATGAACTCAGGAGACATAGCTATTGGATTGAACTGTCTTGTGTCACCAGTAGAGTGTGGTGGACTTCTAGTGGGGACCTCAGTGGCCAGTGGATTTTTATAATAATTCCCATTTAGTGAGGAGAGTATTGGCAGTGCGGGCACCAAACTTCAGATCCAAACATGACTAATTCACCCAGGTGTTCACATCGCCTCATTGCTTCAGCCACATGACTATCTGGCCTGTCAAGTGTGCAATCATCTGACATTTTTGTGCTGAGATGGAGGCCAGGTCAATCATTCTGCTTGGATGTGGGTGGGATGCTTTTTTTAACCTTCCCTTGCTGTTGTTTGAATTTCTCATTTGTTAAGACCCATATGTTAATAAAACTTCAAGGAAAGCACATAGGAGAATTAACCACATTTTTGCACAAACTTAAATCCTTCTGTTTTTAAAAGCATATTGAGTAGGGTGTTTAGTTGTTTTCTCATCTGGAGAAGAATGTATGGGATTCATTATTGTGCCTTTTACATAAAAAGATACTGAGGCACAGAGAAGCCTAGAAGCATAGTTGAAGTTAACTGGTGGCAGAACTAAATGGAGAACTTCAAAGCATATCTCCCACTTGACAGGGCAGGCTTCTTACCCCAGGCCACATTACCTTTCTTCATTCCTGCTAGGGATTTACTTGAGCATTAGCCCAAATAGGTGCCAATTTAATTTCATGAAGCCCAGGGTCTGGTTTTACCTTCAGAGACTTTCATTTAGGATCAGCAAGGGAGTGCATACATCTGGAGAATCTAGAGATAGAAATTGTGTATTTGAATACTGCCGGTGTCAGGAACAAAATGCACAAGTCAGGGAAGTTGACTGAGACAATACAGACACGTGAGAAAAAAGAAAATATTTTGAAGACGCGAGGTTAATGACAGCCAAGTTCAACCTGTTGTTCAAATGATGCTGTTTCTGATAAAGACACTATTTATATGGTCAAAACTGAGTGTTTTGTGAATGGTGTCTCCAAGTGATGTGATAACTGAAGCTCCCTGCACCAGTGAGACCAGAGCTGGCAATGCCACCTGGAAATGTCATTGACAGATGTCCTTCTTCTTGACAATTAGCAGACGTCACGGGACCACATTTTAATGCCATTGGATGTTTTAATGTTTGTCAGGTAGTTAGAGAGTTAGGATGATGAGGTCTCTGTTGGTCTGGGGTTTTCATCCGTTCAATTCGCTTAGGGAGAGGGATCAGATACTGAACAAGTGGAAGGTTGGGAACAGAGGGCAGAGCAGTGTACCGTATGGTCACTGCAGTGATTCAGACAGCGGGTTACACAGATGTCACTTATCACTTGGCTAAGGGTAATGCCCCTGAGAAGCTCTGGAGAGGGATGGGGGAGTTTGTCAATTCAACCCACTAAGACAGTTATTTTATTTTTTAAAGATTTATTTATGCATACAAGAATGGGATGTAGGCCAGAGGTGTGGGGGTGAGAGGATCCACCAGAGACAGAGTGGGGAGCAGAACAGGCGGATCTGCTGAAATACACTGCTGAGGGGAGCAGCGGGGAGACAGGAGAGGTCTGCTGTACCATGTGGGTAGCTCCCTGGTTGGGGATCAAACTCATGCTACAGTGGCTGGTGACAGCTTGATAGCGCTGAGACTTTACCCCTGCACCACCAGGGAGGCCCTAAAACAGTTATTGATTACATTTTCTATTTTGTTCCCAGAGTCCTTAATGCTCCATGTGACCAAACATGAGTGCCGGCGCCCCCTCCTGGGGGTGGACACCCGGATCCACCTCTCTGCCACATTCCCCCACCTACCCTATCCAGCTGGGAACAGATTTTCAAAACCACCTGCACTTCTCATTCCCCTGGCTTCCTGTGGCTCCAGGCTTTCATCTTCCCACCTGAATTCACCCTGGGGCTCCTCGTGGTGGGAGCACAGCTGCCAGCAGCCCTGGACCTACATCTTTCTAGGTTTAAATGTGATGGAAAGGCCACGTTCCTCTCTCCTAAAGTTTCTAGTAAAACCTCTCTAGGTCTCATCGGCTCTAATTGGGTCTCTCCTGAAGCAATTATCGTGGTGGGGAAAGAACAGGATACTTGGATTTCCCAAGCCCCAATCACATGCTTCCCCTCGAGTGAGAGGTGAGAGTCGGAGAGGCATTGTTCCCAGTGCGAAAATCAGGTACGAGCGCCAGGACAGAGGCCAGTTGCTTGTACATGACCATAACAGCAGATGAGCAGCTGTGCACCCCGCAGAGCAAGTTAACAGAAAGTGATGACATGGCGGCACCACCTCGAGAACATGGTGGGTGCAGACAGAGGCCAACCCCAGAGGACCAGTTAGAAAGTGGGTATGTGGTGACTATATTAAAGACTATTTTAAAGGGAAAAGACTTGGATCTATGCCCATCATTAAACTTGATGAAGAAGGAGGCCCCTGGGCTCATTCTAAGGTCAAAACCATGGGATCCTATTGACACCACCCTGAATGTTTTACATTTGCGTGTTGAGAAGGATGAGCTTGCAATTCAGGGTAACTCCTGCACTGGAGTCCACAGAGCTGTGTTCATTTCTACCCACTTCTCTGAGGGCCGTGTAGAGGAAGCTGACTTTTTTTTTTTGAGATAAAAATATCTTTAACACCCATATTGAAAATATGAACACCCAGCTACTTACCAGCCATATTTAAGCAGTATTGATTTTGCTTTGAGTAATTAATTTTTTTACCTCACTGTTCAGTTTTGGACAGTTTTGGATTTGTCCCCAGAGGTGTCATTCTCCTAGTTCTTCCATCATTTATGGTGGAACCGAACAAGGGTCAAGAAAGAGTGAAAACCATAGGTCTGAGGATGCTGACATTCTACCTTGGCTTGCCTGAAAGCCTCAAAGACTTTTCGAGAACACACGGTGAATCAGCTCTCCTCAGGGGCAGATACCATCAAGTTATGTGAGAGAAGCTTCTGGCGAGTGGAACTGAGTAATTACATGGAAATTTATTCTTTACCGACTCAGATGGGGTTTTGTTTTACTGTTTTTCAATTTCGTGAAGGAAAGAAGCACCACGAAATAAGCCCCATAGGAAACTGGACGTGGAAACCTCTGAATTACAATCTGGAAGTGATCAATTGAAAGATGCAAAAGCCAGCAGGCTTGGTATTCAGGATCTTCACGGTCACATTTAACTGTCTTCATGGTACACAGGAATATTCTAGGCTATTTTCCTCATGTGGGATCACTGCTAAACATGTATTTTGGGGGGTTATTTTGGCTGTTTACCATGAAGATTGGAGCAAGTGTATGTCAGATATGAATTTTACTGAGTGCTTCTTCACGTTGGTCCAGGGGTGAAAATACAGTGCAGGGAGGTGGAGCTGTGGAGGGCGGTATTGCCTGCCCCATGCCCTGGAGGCTCCTCCAGCTGCCACACATGGGCATCTGGCTCTGACTTAACACTCACCAGTGTGTGGTGAGGCCAAGGCTCACCTCTGCAGATGGAGGCTGGCCTGACAATCATCCTGAGTAGAACCCATTGCCCCAAGATTTCTTTCTCTTTCCTTCAGTCCTTCACTCATAGAAAGAAACAAAAAAGAGATATTTAATGTCTGTGTGTGCCTTTGTGATATATATCATTTATTTCTCAAAGCATCCCTCCAAGGTAGATACTCATACCTCCATTGATATGACCAAGGAATGTGAGCCGCTGCCTGGTCAATGTCCCATGGTCAGTAAGATAATTGGGATCAGACCTGGATTTGTCTGACTCTGTAGTCCATGCTCACCCATTAAGTCAAGTTTAAATCAAGTCTGTTAGCACAGATCCGGCAGGTATAGAGCACAGAGGGAAGGAGGAGCTATGCAGGTAAGGGAGGTGGCCCCTGGCCTGACCTCCCTCTCAACTCCAGTTCTCCTGCGATGAGAGATTTCTAGTCAGCCAAGTGTTGGAATGTGAGGGAAGGTAGACCACCTCTTTATGCCTCTTTCGTGCCTGGCTGCCATTCCCAATCTTGCTCAACAGTTGACAAGCTGTTAGATCATAACGGAGTCAAGAATTCTCAGTATCTCCATTTGCTCCGTGGCAAAATGAATACCATCGTCTTCTCTCTACGTGGACTTTGAAAAGCAGCTATGATGTGCATTAAGTGCATACGAGCATGTCTTCAAAGTGCATGGAAGCAAATGTGAACTTCTCTTGGATAGACTTTCTCTCCCCCTTCAAAAACTCGTTCATGTGGGGACTCCCCCCATCCCCCTCCAAAACTCAGCAGGCCACCAAGTCTTGCTTCCAGTGAGTGTCATTTGAAAGCCAGAGCAAGCTGACTACAAACTTTTTAACATGTGCCTCTCATCTGCTTTGCAGAAATCCCTGTTACTTGTTAATAGTTCCCTTCTCCCTTTTTTTGTAGTGAAACCAATTGAGGCCTTAAATCAGTACCAGTCGTTCCGTCCTGAGCCACCCGAGAAAACCCTTTAGCGTTGTAAGAAGTCATCTATCTGCTCCCTCCTGCATTTCCTGCTGCAGGGCTGGGCCAGTGCCCACATGGCATCCCTGCACAGGGCACCGCAGAGTGCTGCCCTGGGGTCTCCGGGGGACACGTAGACGCCAGACCCGGGAGAGCCAGGATAGACTCCCAAAGAGAGGAGACCAGATACATAGCCCACAAACACGACTCTCTCCACAGCTGGAGTCTAGTTTCTCCATTTATGTCATAGCTCTCTTTCGCCGAAGCTTGTTCGTGGCATTGAGGGCAGAAGGCGGGGCGGGGTGGTGGGGGGACATGTATCAGATGCCTTGGAGAGAAGCCAGATGCTTGCTTCCCAGAAGGCGCTCGGCAGACCGCTCAGGGGTTCACACACAAGCAGCAGGATATGATCTTCCTCCTCGTTCTGGCTTCCCCTTCTAGAACTCGTCCATGGTATTAAAATAACTCCTTGGAAAGCACTTGCTACTGGCCATAGCATAAATGTAATATTCAGACAGATCCACTTCTGAGAAGCACAGAAACTGAAGCCCATCGATTTGAGCTCTGATTTCACAGATGCGAATTGAGAGTCGCCGCCTCGCCTGTGGTCACGACCGTGACAGCGGCGTTGGCCTGGAGCTGGGCTGGGTGCTCCTCTTACCCAGGCCAGCCGCTGACCGACTTCTCCCAGGGGTATTTGTACTAGTGGCTTTTCCCAATTTGTGGAATAAACATTTATTTTTCCCCCTCTTAACGGAAACTTAGGCATGAACAGGGATCATATTTCCTGAAATGACTCTAAAATCAGCAGTTATTTGTATCTAAATCCACTTCTACCTTGGAATTTCTTTGGGGAAATTCTTTTCACCAAGGAAGAGATGATGTTCGTTGGACAAATTTAACTCTGACGAAATCTAACCCAGAAGAAATGATGGACAGGAGCTAAATTTGTACTTCTGCTACCAAAATCACTACCCCGCCTGTGGCTGTAGGCTGAGCCTGCACCACCCCCACTTAAAACTTGCCAACGGGTTCCTCTCTGAGGTGTGTGCCTCCCGGCATGCCCTCCTGGGCCTTCACCCTTCACTCCAGGGTGGCTTCTTTGAATCCCGACTGGGCTGGGATGCTGCTGGTTCCCTTCATGTTTTCCTCACTGTGGAAAACCTGCTCCTTTGCACTTAAAATTCCCTTTTGCCCTTCCATAGCAGCTCAGGTTTGAAGAGTCCCAACAGGAGTCATGGGTGGTGCCATGTCTCATGGGGAATAATAATGCTCAACAGTTCTGGGGAAGCCCCAGCCTGAAGGAGGAATTCCATGTGGCAGGTTCCCTAAAGAAGACAAAAGGGCTGGAATTTCTGGAATTCAAATGGAAGGTCCCGCAGCCCCAGCTCTCACTGTCTTTAACTTCTAATGGGCGAGACAGGGCATGGAGGCCGTTGCTGCTTCCTAGCCCTGGGTCTAGCCCTAGGCCTTTCCTGACTTGGGGTGGTCATCTTTGGCCTTCTAGAGCTAGCTGGGAGCAAACCTGAAGTAGGCTGTGTTGAACTGACCCTTTGTTGGTGCATCAGCCACCAAACCTGTTCTAACAGCCACATGCCATCTGGGCGCTCCTTTCTAGTACAGACCCAGGGATTATCACAGAGGGAGGGGAGCTGGAGGCCCTCTGACCCGAAATGTGCTTCCTGTAGCAGCAGCACCAGCCACATCTGGGGACTTACTAGAAATGCAGATTCTGATCCTCTCAGAATTCTATCAGAATCAGAATTGAACGCTGGAGGTGCAGCCATCTGGGGTCTATCAAGTCCTCCAGGTGATTCTCATGGACACTCAGGTTTAAGACTCACCACTCTGGGCACTTTGAAGTAAGGAGTTTGGGATTTGTGTCTTTGATGCTCGACCCTGCCTGCATGTGAGGGTCACTGGGGGAGCTTTAACATACTGTGGATATGGAGGTTCCATGCCCAGAACCAGGCACTGGGGCATTTTTTTATTCCAGCTTGAGAACCACTGATCTAACTCAATCTCTCATCTCTAAAGCAGCTGAGCCATATGCCAGAGTCGCACTGGGGTGTAGTGTGGCAGTGCTGAGCAGAACCCCGACACCCGATATCACAGCCTGTTGGACTCTTTTCTGTATAAACGTCTATAATCCAAAGGCCACATGCACGATTTTTGTCCCCATCGCTGAGACGGGGCTGTTCGGAAGGGAGGGAGCAGAGCTGCTGGGTCACGATGGTTTAGTTCCAGATTAGTCTTGCTATCTTCTAGCCTAGTTCTTATAATTGTGCTCATAATGTCTTTCATATGCCAGAACTTCAGTCCCATAGGCGGAACTTCCTACCTGGGCCTCTCTGTTCGGCCCTCCCAGGCATTAACTTTGACCTGGCATCTTGCCCCAGCCCTGATTTCCTCTGAAATTAAGGTCCTGCTCTGCTCTCCTATGTTTTTGGCTGGAGGACTAAATATGATGACATCGCAGCGGTCCCTGGTTAAAACACACATATAATGCATTGTTCACTGAGAATAGAAAACGTTGAGCTCATGGATTTTAACCTGATTACCAGAGGTCTTAGTGGAAAGTGAATTGGATGGTGAGAAAAGGCCAAGGGAGTATCGGAAGGCTGATTTTTATTTTATGAAAAACAAGACTTACCAGGAATTTTACAAGGAGAAACAGGAGTTGGGTGCTCCTCTGACCCAGGCCGGCCGCTGCCCGACTTCGCCCAGGGGTATTGACAATCGTGGCCTTTCTCTCTCTTGTTGTTATTGTCACCTTCCTGGTCCAGTGTCACCGAGCGTGTGTGTGTGTGTGTGTGTCTGTCTGTCTGCCATGTGTCTCCGTGTCTGTGTGTCCTTTTGCACGGGCACGGGAGTGTCACTCGGCAGGTCTGCTGAGTGAAGACAATGCCATGGTTCTGTAAGACGCAGCCCGCGGGCCGCCCTTGGCCATCCGACGGTCCCCCCTGTGGGACTCGAGCCTGGCTCCGACAGACTCACTGTAACCGGCTGCTGTCTCAATCGTTTTCGTGGTTTATTTTTCAGGGGGCAGCACCGGCACTTCCCCAACCACCTCCAGCACCGGGACACCATCGCCTTCGGCTTCTTCTCACCTTCTCTCTCCGTCCTGTTCTCCCCCAACCTTTCATCTGGCCCCCAACACTTTCAACGTGGGCTGCCGGGAGAGCCAGCTGTGCAACCTGAACCTCTCTGATTATCCACCCTGTGCCCGAAGCAACATGGCCGCGCTGCAGAGCTACCCGGGGCTGAGTGACAGTGGCTACAACAGGCTCCAGAGTGGCGCTGCGACGGCCACTCAGCCCTCCGAAACCTTCATGCCTCAGAGGACTCCATCCCTGATCTCAGGAATACCGACGCCACCCTCCCTGCCCAGCAACAGCAAGATGGAAGCCTATGGTGGCCAGCTGGGGTCCTTCCCCACCTCGCAGTTCCAGTACGTCATGCAGGCGGGCAACGCGGCCTCCAGCTCCTCCTCGCCACACATGTTCGGGGGCGGCCACATGCAGCAGAGCTCCTACAACGCCTTCTCTCTCCACAACCCTTACAACCTGTACGGATACAATTTCCCCGCGTCTCCCCGGCTAGCTGCTAGCCCGGAAAAACTGAGCGCCTCTCAAAGCACTTTACTCTGCTCTTCTCCTTCCAACGGGGCCTTCGGAGAGAGGCAGTACCTGCCCACGGGCATGGAGCACGGCATGCACATGATCAGCCCGTCGCCCAACAACCAGCAGGCCGCCAACGCCTGCGACGGCCGGCAGTACGGCGCCGTGCCAGGCTCCTCGCCCCAGATGTCCGTGCACATGGTGTAGCGGCCCGGCCGCCACGGAGCCCTGCAGCCGAGGGCCGAGGCTCCACGGACAGACCCCCCGAAAGCCCAACACCTTTGAAAAACAGGAACTGTGTCTCGTTCCTTTCATGTCTGGAGGAGAAAACCATGCACCCAACGACAAGAGACTCTGAGCCACTGGAGGATGCTTGGGGCGCATCATCTCCCACTCGTGGCCGTGCGCCCGCCCCCTCGGACCCGAGTTCTCCAGATCAGCATCTGCTCCAGCGTGGCCTTCGAAGAGACTGAATACTCCTTTTATAACCATGTTAAGGGAGATGCTAGCGTGCAGCAGCCAGGAAGAGTTACCCCCACACGAACATACGTGGATACACGTGTGCACACGTTCACACTCACACGCACAGACACACATGCATGCCGGCGGGAGACTGGGCGAGCTCCGTGCGGGGAGGCCCGGAGTGGGCGCTTTCACGGGAGTCTGTGTGCGACACAGGATGGACTAGCCGGCAGCAGCTGCCGGCCTTCTCCCCTGCAGCTTCCCCTGTTTCTGGAATGGACCGTGTCCCGGAGCCCCTCCCCGGCACTAGGACGGGAAGACATCAGCGCTGCGCCTGACTTGCTGTCCTGGAAAAGATTGCGTTGGAATTTTGGGGTTTTTCCCTCAGTAGCATCACCGGTGTTCCCAGTGCACCTGTGCGCAGACAGAGTAAGCAGCCGTAGGAGAGTGAGAGCAAGGGAGAGAGACAGACAGTGGGGCAGAGAGAGAGAGAGAGAGAGAGAGAGAGATAGCAAGACTGAGAAAGTGTGAGCAATGATGAGAGTTGAACGCACCAAGGAAATTTGGTGTGGGTGGCCCACGCCCCCCAACAGGTCCTAGAAAGAATCGTGGTGTCACTGAGAAGTGAGTCTCTCTGGGGCACCGTGCCAGGTCAGGGCACCGCCGGGAAGGCCTGCGATGAGGAATTCCCAGAACCCTCCCTCTGCCCGCGGGATCCAGAAGCGAGCTTCCCTCGCAGGCAGTGTGCAGCCTGGCAGGGCAAAGGGAATACAAGTGTGAGAAGGAGGATTTTGTACCCCAGCAGATGATGCCAAGAGCAGAGGTGGCGCATCAAGGCCTGGCCTCCTGCAGGCTGGGGCCAGACCCTGACTTGAGGGCCTGCTCGTAGCCGCCGGGCAGGAGCCACCGGTCCCGGTCCGGGGAATAGCACATGGGCGTTCTGTCCTCCCGCTGCCTCCGGGCTCCACTGGTATCAAATAGTTCATTGCATTTTGAAGTTTTGGGTTTTTTTTCCCCTTCATCTTTCCCTTCCCTTTCAAATCCTTTAATGATAAGAAAACAAGTGAAGTTTGGTATAAGCTGAACTTTTTAAGTGGTGTGGAAATGCAACCAATACCAAGTAAAATAATACAGATATTATTAAGATTTTTGGTTTTGAGGTGTTGTAGATAAGTATATTTATGTGCCTAGTGGGGAATCCAATATTATGAATATTAAAAAAGGGGGCAATAAAAAGGGTATGTAAAATATGTATGAAGAAAAGGTGTATAAAAGTTTGCCCTTATGCACGGAACTTTGTTTCTAAGTGCCAAGCACAAAAAGCCGCTAAATAAAATCTTTGCAATTGTTTTCTGTGTATTTATTCCTATGAAAAAGCAGACAACAGCCCATGTGTTGTATTACGCTCTTCCGGGAGCACAGCACTCTCCTCTGCCCTGCTTAGTGTGATCTTGATACAAACCCCATGGAGAAAATGTAACCTTCCTCGTTTTATGACTAGTAACCGAGCTCCAGAGAGATTGAATGAATTATCCAGGATCAAACAGCCCAGCAGAGAGGGAGTCAGGGACTGAAATCAGGTCAGATCTGGCAGGGTCGTCCACTTTCAGATCAGCTGCAGAAAACTGTGAGTGGATGCCCAGCCTCCTGGGAACCAGGGCCAGACGCTGCACCGTTTGTTCTGCGTGAGTAGCTTACCTAAGCCTCCCACATTTCTGAGAGATAGACTTTATTTTTATCATTACTTTATAGACCTGGAAACCAGTTTTAAAAAGGTTAAGTCCTTGACCAAGGCCTTCAGGTAGCAGGTGATTAAGCTGGGAATTTCTATCTTCCGTTCCATGCAATCAGCACCAACCCACACCACCGGAACCCCAGCGCGCTGTGAGGCGCTGGGACAACCAGCAAAGATCTCTGTAAGGAGCTGGAGTGGCTTGGTATGTTTAATGGGAAATACACACCTGCCCCCTTGTTGTACTACCGCAGCCTGGAAGGGTGATTTTGAGGCCTGCACCAAATGCCTTATTATATTTTTTAATAATTTATTTATATATATATTTTACAACATAGTTCTTTTTTTTTTAATGTTTGCTTTCTTTTCTCAGGTGTAGTCCCCATAGAATGCCCACCACCAATTCACCTGCGCACCGTGCCATAGTTCCTTGTGCTCTTCCTGCCCTCGGTTTGATTTCTCTCCCTCTTCCTCACCTGCAGGTGTCTCTGATTTATAGTTGTTTATTTTTGTTTTGTTGTGTTTTTTTTTTTGATTTATTTATTTACACATACAAGAGCTGGGGTACAGGCCAGAGATGCAGGGGGTGAGAGGATCCACCAGAGACAGAGCGGGGAGCAGAACAGGCAGACTGACTGAAATACACTGCTGAGGGGAGCAGCAGGCGAGTCAGGAGAGGTCTGCTGCACCATTTGGGTTGTTTCCAGGTGGGCTGGGGATTGGACTTGTGCTGCAGAGGCTGCGGACAGCTCCACAGTGTGGTGCTTAACCCCTTGCGCCACCAGGGAGGCCCCATTTTGTTGTTTTTTTATTGTTAATATTATCTTCCTTGATCTCTTGTATGGCCCCCATATATTCCTCCTAAAGTGAAACCATCCAATATTTTTCTTTTTCCTTCTGACTTATTTCACTGAGCACCATCCCTTCCAGCTGCATCCGTGTTGCTGTGAATGGCATGAGTTTATCTTTTTTGATGCTGAATAGTATTCCATTGTCTATAAAGACCACATCTTCTTGATCCACTCATCTATTTTGAGGCAACCAAGTGCCTTATAATGGACTAATCAAGGGTCTAGGGCTATTCCATATGTAAGAGTTTTCACATATTATCGTATTCAAGCTTCCCAGTAACTGTGAGAGGTACACAGGTCAGGAAACACTGTTCTGCACACGGAAGACGAGAATTGTAAAGCGATGGCCTGTTGCTTATGTGTGGCAGGGAAGCAGCTTTCAGCTCTCAGAGTCTGCTCTTAGCCCTGCCCCACTGTTCCCCAGTGGACATTCCTCTAGGAGTCGCTGGCCCGTTTTAGCCGGGTTAGACGGGGGGTAGCCCAGAGGGCTGTCCACCACACTCGTAGGAAACGGAGCTTGGTTTGGGGGACGCAAAACCTTAATTAACCATTACTCTGGTTTTCTAAATGACTTCCAGGAGTTAACTCCACTCACTAATAGATCATTACCAAAACAGCTGGGACAATGACTGATGAGCACCTCCAAGGAGGGCGGGCTCTCTGGCCAGGATATGTCTCAAGACTTGAAGAAGACACTCCTATTTGGAAATCTGGGAGTCACCCCTTGCTTCACAATGGTAGACTGAGAACACTACCTGCGAAGCTTCTGGCTCTTTCTTTCTGCTCTAGCATCCTAGTAAATACTGTTCACAGATCTAATGTACCTGAACTGTTGGGCCATACATAATCCTAATATGCCCAGCAGCAAACTTGACGTCAGAAATCTCCGTGTTTTCACTTAATAGTAAGAATAATCATTTCAAAAATCATTTAAGAGTAGTAAGGACAGACATTTTCTGTAGTTTGGATTAATTCAAACAATCCAAGTCTGTTATAGCTGAATCATGGCATAAGTTTTTATCTGTAACTAAGAAAGTGAAAACATTTATTTTGATACAAACTAGATAAACAATTGTCATGAATGTACTCTAACAATTCTCTTTAGAGAAATGATCAACATTCATTCATTGGCACATTGATAACAAAAGACTGTTTATCAGAAGAATTTTTCTATAGGCTCTCAGATGGCTCCTCCTGATCTTGTTCCTTGAGGAGAGACTGTCTTTGCATCCTCAGTGCCTAGGATACTTCCTGGCCTATTATGAAATCTCAACACTTACTTATTCTTAAGCTCTTTTTAAAAAAGATAGCGCAAAATGGTTGCATGATAGAATTTTCATTCACCTCAAATGAATGGTACCTAAATTAACAAAGATTTATTATTTTTCACATAGTCTTCTGGGACAGGTGAATATAAATTTAATTTAGATACCTGCTCGCTGGTATCTATTACCCATAATGGAAAGTTAAAAAAGTTGCATATCTTATTTCCTGTCTTGAAAGCATTCATGTTGTAGGTAGCTACCTGCAAAGCAAGTGATATGAAAGATTCTGAAAATTCACCAGGAATGCTCAGGGTAAAAAGATGAGGTCGCAATTGTTTTGATTAGGGGTAGAACTTGACTGAGCTTTGAAGAATACTCAGACTTGTTTTTTAGATTTATTTTTATTTTTATTTATTTATGCATACAAGAACTGGGATGCAGGCCAGAGGTGTGGGGTAGTGGGCGGTGAGAGGGTACCCCAGAGACAGAGTGGGGAGCATAACAGGCAGATCCACTGAAATACACTGCTGAGGGGAGCAGTGGGTTTGTAATTCAATCCCTGTTTTATAGATGGGGAAATTGAAACTTACAGTAATGTGCAAAAATCGCAGTGCTGCAAATAACAAAGAGGGGCTTTCCACGACTATGTTTTTCTGTAAGTGAGATTGACAGGGACCACAATAAAGGGACAGTGTTCATGGAGAAGGTTGAACTCAAATTGTCCTTTGAATAATTTGTGGAAAATGCATAAACTGAACAGAAAGGAGTGTTTCCCAGCTTGAGGGCAGAGCAGCCCAGTGAAGACAAATATTCTCTAAGTGAGACAATGACAGAAGGAGAAAAACAATACCTGGTGATGTCGCTTACAGGTGGGATGTGGAGAAACAAAACAAAGGAACAGACAACACTAAACAAAAACAAACACTAGCAGGCTCACTGCAGGGTGGAGACAACCAGAGCAGGAGAGTAGGGGTGGGGAGTGGGGTGCAAAGCGGGGAGGGGACAGATGGACCATGGTAAGGGACTGTGGGTGCCTTGGTGGTGGGTGTGGTCACATACATCTGAGAGGTGAGACCCTGTACCCCTAGATCATATGCGGTGCTGTAAGCCAATGTTACCGCAGTAAAAATAACACAATAAAAAGCGTGCAGACGGCAATGAGTTATGGGACACTGGTTTCAAGCGGAACAACGTTCACACCTTTCAGTTAAATCTCCAACCTCTTAAGTTAAATGTCCCCTGTGCTGCTCTGGATCATGACTGAGTTTCCTTTACCTGGTGAGGTGCCCTAGCTCTGCAACTTGGGCAATTCTGGATTTCCTTTCCAGGGGACCCTCACTCTGGAAAGGACCCATGGGGTTTGGGAAGTGAAGGAGCCGTCAAGTCACATCACCCCAGCACCCCTCCCCAGACCAGGACCCCAGAGACAGGTTCTGCCGCCACGTTCCCCGAGTCAAGCCCTACACAGAGCCCTTGCTTTCTCAAGCCAGTCACACAGAGCAACGTGGGATGGTGAAAGGGGACTTTGCTGCTTAAGACCAAGTAAACATTCATCATGTTTTCCTTCTTAGCTCATTTTACTGCTCACAGCATTCATCTTTTATGGGCCAGCCTAGCAGCATTTCCCACTTCAGATGCTTCCTACTCACACTTTCTGCTTTTATTAGACTTTATTGCAGGCCCTGCGTAGGCAGAGAAAAGCAAAGAGGTTTTCAGTCCTTTTCGTATTTTTGCCCAGTGAAGCTGAAGTGGACAAAGAGGGAGGCTGAGGGATAGCCGAGTCGACCCTCCAGCAGTTGTTATTCTAGAAGTGCCTGGAATCCACCAAGAGGATTTTTGGAGCGCTTTCCCTCGTGTCTTACTGCACACCCTTCTGTCACCCATGGGGTACCCAAGACTTCTCTAGATGCTCTATCAGATAAACCCTGAACTATTAGTTCATTCATGTTTAGTTTTCATCTCACAAGTCAACATGGACTT